AAGTTATTTGCATCCATTCTGATTCGCAGACAATCCCGAGTACGTGAATCATACTGCCGTGAAGAACAAGCTGGTTTCCGTCCTGGTGGCGGATGCGTGGATCAAATCTTCACGCTCCGCCATCTTCTCGAACATCGCCACATTTATCACAGGCCCACTATCGTTGCATTCCTAGACATACGTGCCGCTTTTGACTCCGTTGATCGACCTGCTTTATGGCGTCGCTTGCTAAAAAACGGGGTGTCAGAGAAATATATCGCCATCTTACGCGCACTTTACCTTCATACATCCATCATCATCATCAGCAGCAGCATCCTCAAGCACCAAGCACAAGGCGAGTCACGTGGACTCCAGCCCGGAAGGCGAGACGGACCAACGGCACCCAGTTTGGTCTTCAGTGTCTTCATTTCCCGTTGCCAAGTCTACTTCTGTCCATCTCGAGCCTTGCACCACCCTACACCTGGCAGACTAAACAAGACCCTCCTAGGTAAGCGGTGACCAGGCATGCGTAGCACGTGCCCGAGCCAACGCAACTTATTCAGTGCTATCTGTTGTTCTAGGGAGCTAGCATGATCATCACCACCTAGTACTCGCCTACGCACATCATCGTTGCGGATACGCCGGTGCCATCCGACTCCAGCAATGCTTCGCAAACAACGATCATCAAAGACTTGAAGGCGCCTCAGCTCTTCAGACCGAAGGGACCAAGTCTCACTACCATACAGCAGAACGGCCCTCACTGTAGCCTTGTATACCCGGCCTTTCAGACGAAGGGAAATTCCCTTCTGTCGCCAAAGATGACGCAAGTTCAAGAAGGCAGCTCTGGCCTTTGCAATGCGTGAGCTCACGTCAGTTTCTATGCGCCCATTATTGCTGACGCAGCTGCTAAGATAAGTGAAATGATCAACCACCTCGAGTTCCTCGTTAGCAAGCGTCAAAGGGTCATCGAGTGGCTGGTGGTCCTGCAGCAACGCTTTGCACTTTGAAGGTGCGAAGTGCATACCAAATAATGGGACCACTCTGGATAGGCTATTCAGGGTTGATTGTGCCGCCCCAACATCGTCGAAAAGCAAGACGATATCGTCCGCATAATCTAGATCAACTAACCTTTCACCAGGCAGCACTTCAACACCTACATCGTGAGATTCCGCAAGGGAACACTCCATGATAGAATCCACGACGAAATTGAACAAAAACGGGGAAATCGGACAACCCTGACGAACACCACTTGTGGTCGGAAAGCTATCCAATAGGACACCGTAAACTTTGACGCGGCCTGCAGTGTTCGAGTATTGAGCACGAAGGATGTTCACATATTTCGTGGGAATACCTTTTCGCGCAGGTATTTCGAACAGAATCGATCGATCGACTGAATCGAAGGCACTCTTGAAATCGAGGAACACAGCTATTGTCGATCTGCGGTATGCGTGGCGCTGCTCTAGCACCTGCCGCAAAGTAAATATATGGTCTATACAGCCACGTCCTGGGCGGAAACCGGCCTGCTCTTCCCTAATCCGAGATTCCCGTTCCGCAGTGAGGCGACGAACGATAATCGAGGCCAGTAATTTTGTCACAACTGGCGTTAGGCTAATACCACTGCGGTTAGAACAGTCTGTGCGACTGTCCTTCTTGTATATTGCCACTATAATCGATTCGCCCCAATTAGCCGGCACACTCTTCGTTCCAGATACGTTCGAATAAGGAGGTCAGTGCTTTGCAGAGGACCTCACCTCCATCCTTAAATAGCGCAGGTGGGAGGGAATCCGGGCCAGTGGCACGAAAACGATTGAGGGCTGTGATCGCGTTTCGGACCTCGGCCTCCGACGGAGGCTCTAAACTAACCGTCCATGGCTCGTCCTGCATCACCTGAGTAGGAAGAGGTCCGGGAGCAGGGGGCCAGCTGAACTGATGTTCAAAGTGTTCCGCCCAATGAGCCATACGGCGCTCCTTATTGTGTATCAGCGCACCCGCGCTGTCCCTGGTTGTCTCACTGACGCCTGATTTTCTGGGACCAGTGGTGCGTATTAGCTGGAAGAGCTTCCAGTAATTGCCTACTGCTCCTGCCTCCTTCATTTCTTGAGCCCGACTGGTCCACCAGGCTTCCTTGTCAGCACGCAGGCTCCGCTTTAGTTCACGCCTTATAGCCCGTCTGGTCACATTGTGTTCAGAACCAGCCGGGAGGTGTCTTCTAGATTCCAACAGGTTCACAGACCTCTCGTATATCCAGTGACTGGTGCGGTGACGACTGATAGTGCTACAAGCAGATGCTCCTGCGTCGTGCATGACGGCCGAGATCCTATTCCACTGAAGCTCAGCGTCATTAGGACAAGACTGCGGAAGTTCAGTATGCAGTGCGTCTTGATAGGTTTGCATGGCCGAGGACAGACTATTTCTCCGCTGCCAATCGTAGGGGACGCTTGGTGCGCCTCCCGGTAAAGTTCATGGAGAAACGACGACGTACCAAAGCATGATCAGAGTCGACACAGGTACTCCAGTACGAGCGGCAATCCAGGATGGAACCACGCCACCTGTAACTTATGGCAATGTGATCAATTTGGGTCCATCGCTGGTCAGCTGCAGGAGGACGCCAAGTGGCACTTCGGCGCCCACTGTGTCTAAAAGCAGTGCTACTAAGAAGCAACTGGTGCTCCGCACACAGTTGCAGCAGACGCTCACCGTTGTCAGTCCGTTCAGAGTTAAGCCCACATTTACCACCTAGCTGAGCTTCTGAAGAGCTCAGACGCCCTACTTGTGCGTTCATATCCCCTGCAAGTACTATAATATCTGAACTAGTAGCACTGCGTAATAGCGCATTCATTTCGTGATAGAATGTGTCCTTCCGGCAGAGTAAGGGTCTATGGCAAGCTTTCCTCGCAATTCACTGTCGATAGCTGTGTGCGACAGGGTTGCCCTATGTCCCCATTCCTCTTCAACTTCGCAATCGAAGACGTTCTGTCAAATGCTTTAGAAGGTTTCCAACATTTTGGCCTAGAGCTTCTACCGGGTGAGCGCGCGACCGACTTAGATAATGCTGATGATATCACCTTATTTGATGATGATCCTCAGGGTATGCAACTCATTCTGGATCGTTTGGCGGTTGAAGCATGGCATGAGCTTCACCCCATCGAAGTGTAAAGTACTGCTCAAGGATTGGCTTTCACCTCCTCTCTTGCTCACTCTCGAAGGTGCACAAGGTGAACAGGTAGATAGTTTCGTTTACCTTGGGAGCTGTTTCTGCTGTCGGCACTACCAAAAAAGAAGTTTCTCTTCGTATCACTAAAGCTCAATCAGCATTTGTCAATCTGAGGCACTTGTGGCCTCGTCGCGACGTCTCATTCTCACTAAAGGGCCACGTTTACAGCGCATCAGTTCGCTCAGTATTGTTGTATGGGTGCGAGTCCTGGCCCATTCGCATGGAAGACATGTGTCGTCTTGCTGCCTTCGATAACGGTTGCTTAAGGAGGATCGCTCGTGTTTGGTGGCAACATCGAGTTAGTAGTGATGACGTTCGACGTCGCATCTTGGGGAATGCGAGTATTTCCTTCAACAAACTAGTTTTGTTGCGCCAGTAGAGATGGCTCGGTCACGTTTTACGCATGGCACCTGAGCGTCTACCGCGTCGCGCTCTATTCGCTCATCAAAGACCTGGCTGGAAGCGACCGCTTGATGGTCAGACTTCCACTTGGCGACTGCACATGAAATCGCTGACCTCGTGGCTAGTCGCTGTTGGATCCGTACGTCTTCCAGGATGGGGACCCAAGGATGAGGAGTGCCAATGGCTTAGCACTCTTGAAGACATGGCCCGCAACCGCAATCAGTGGAAGAATTATGTACAGTATTGTATTGATTCACATGTTTAATACTACAAACATTGAAAATGACAACAAAGAGCAACATGGGCGTGTGAAAAACTAAAAATGTTTTGTTCTACTTTTTGTCAAAATGTTCCATTCTTCCTGCGGCATATTAGCTGAAGTGTGTTGCTCATCTTCAACTAGCATGCCACGATGATTATGACGCGATGACTCTTCCTTTTCCGCTGATCTCCATGGTTTTATGTTGGCTCTGTGTCTAGTTGACAGACTGCTGAGATTACTACTACTACTACTGCTTGTCGCGGAATCTCCCTAACCTAGCATACCGCATTCATCAGTTGTTTTGTACATCAGCAGGTGGAGACTGACTTTGGCTTCCGTAGGCGCTGTGCACAGGGGGAGTAGTGTAGCAGGTTCAAGTGTTACCTTGCATCGACCCATAACCTGGTTAGCCGAACAATCTCGTGGTTCCAGCTGGGTGGTTTGGGTTTACCCCGTTCCAGCAAATAGTTCGACGGCAGCGTTCCAGGACGTGGTGGGTTTTTATCTAGCAAGCGATCTCTCTATAAAAAGCCACAAATGTCTGTTTAACAGCATTGCGACGTGGCGATTGGTGACATGCCACCAACTAAAGTCACTGCCTTTTATTTACCGGATAATCGTATCCAATCCACATACATCAACTATGCCTACTGACACTGGTTACGTGATCAAACCCAGTCCAAAGTGCAGCAATACATTTATGAACCCAAGTGACACAGCTACACACACATGCACCTGCAAACCTACGTACATTCATTGATCCACCTGTAGGACAATCCTATTACACTTTTATACATCATTCGATTACTCCTTGTACTCTTACCATGATCATGGCTTTGCAGGGGCGTCTCGCGTAGTCGAGAGTAATCAATTTATCCATTTATAAGCTAAAGCGGTCGTTGAACCTCGATTAGGCCGCCATTGCTTTTCCTCTCCTCTATATCTTTCCGTTACGTTTGCAACCACCGCCATTGTTCTCACCGCGCATTCAGCTCAGGCTCGATCCATCCGGCAACTGTGCCAACGGCATCCAGCTCACCACGAGGTATTAGTCAGTCGCACGTTTCACTTGGTGTCCTCTTACTAGCTTATTGTGATAATTTTATCAAATCGCTTACGACGTGTTTGTTTTCATTGCAACCTTCCAGGTCTCTTACGATCTACGTACATATCGGACACGGAGCAATATTGCAGTCACACCCTTGGGCACATGTCCTCTGTTGTGCTACCTGGTTGTTCACTGTGATTCATATAACTCATACATACGGTCACTTTTGCAGGTGATTTCTTGGCCCCCAAAGATGATAAGCATAAATGTGGCCCTTTGACCCATGTCTGGGGTGGTGAAATTAGAGCCAACTGCCGTGGCCAGTTGAAGATTTCTCATGTTGATGGTTCGGTATTATCGTTTCTGTTGACTTGATCGTTTCACTAAAGGAGATGGTGGAAGTCTTGCCTTGGAGAACTCCTGGCGCTGTGCCGTATTCTGGCGCTATTGTTTTAGCTAAGGTATGTTTCGCACGACGTGTGCCTAGTCATTTTGCGTTGTATGATGGTTTTGTATCTGTTTTCTCCATTACCAAACTGTGTTTTCTACAGGTCCTCTGACGCTTCGTACTAAGATAATGACGGCTAAAAGCTGTGAAAAGTGGCTGCTATGAGTCTCCACAAACTAAGGTCACCTACCCTTCACTCAGGTAGGCCATTATTTTCGCCAAATGCATGTCGACATCACCGGCCGGTGGCCGAGTGGTCTGTGCGCCTGGTTTGCAACCATACGGCGGTTCGAATCCGCGTAGGGGTGGGCGTCCTTGCTATATACTCAGCCCTAGCGCGACTGGTGGTGGTCGGGTAGCAGCGGAGCGCTGTTGCGGCGTACAGCTGGCGATTACTATTATTATTATTATTATTATTATTGTGTCGACATCACAGGCGCTTGGGTCCCTGTTTTTTAACCCCCCAAACCACTGGCATTTGAACTGGGAAATCAGTCACCACCTCCGATGGAGGCCTATCGCAATGAGACTGGACGTTACCGTAGTTTGCGTGCCTCAGCGACCCATTGAGCTATGCTGGGTGGTGCTTTTTGCACCTTCAGAGCCACTCATACCAGATTGGCCAATGGTTAGAGGCCAGACAAACTCAGTTTCCTGGCCCTCCAGGTTGGGGGTTTGAGTGACGGTGGCTTAAAACGGATTCCTTATAGCCCACTCAAACTCGTTGCTTTGCGGTCAGGTTTTTGAACCAAAGGCTTTGGTTGAGAACCCTAATCGTTCTCCTGTGTAGGCTTGGGCAACCTGGCAGTACCCTGCCCACACAATACAATGACTTTGTCTTCAAACCATTGATGCTCTCGCCGTCGCGGAGGATAATATACGGCTCCCTATCTGCTACATCTAGCAGAGTGGATAGGGGTTTGGATGCTACTGCTCAAGTCTTTTTATTCCTCCGTCTTCTTATTCCTCCTCTTACGTTTTTTCATCCTTATCGTCCCGTTATAACTTCACTTTTATCCCCCATTTTCAATGCCAAAATTCCTGGCCCCCACCTTGTTTTATTTATTTTCTAGTTTTAACTCACATGCAGACCCGGGGCCTTACTACTGCTCTGACGATAAGTTCAAGCTCAATTTGGACAGAAACTAGGAATTTCTCATGTGTGTTCGTTCTTTAATGCATCGTTGAACCGGGATAGAGTTCGCAAGATCGATTTGAAACCGAGGAGAGCTAGATCAATTCGCACGAATCACATCACTGTCAACCAATCAATACCCGCGCGGCCTACACCAGCAGTGCCCGCTGTACCGGGCAAATGAATCAGAACAAGAGCTAAGGGAGGGGAATAAACAAAGACAGTAACTATACTTGTAGTACGGGAGAATGTATAGATAAGGCAATAATATTAATAAGGTGTGAGAAGTCACGGAAATAGATGTGGAAGTTAAGAGCCAAACGGAAAGGGTATCGAGTGGATGTTCAAACTCCTTCATCTTTGGTGATAATATGACTTCGCTGGTTAGTGCGTTCCATGAGTCGATGACCCTGTGTAACCAAGTAGTCAAGCCCAGATCATCGGCTTCTATCTGGGGTCCTCGTTCTTTCTTCAGCTTGACATGCCTCGACGTACGCACATTATTACAGCTCGGTCAACAGGCAGCACTTGCCCGAACATTATAGACTTTCTCGATCGATATTTGCTGATTATCAGAAACCCGTCTGCAAGACTCGGGCGCTGTACTCGCTTTGCGATCCCCTTCAGGTGACTCTAGCAGTAGTTCCTCATTTCGCCTATCCGGAGACGATGTAACTTTGAGTACCGGCGAAGCCGATGTTGGTATTGTCTTCAGGTAGCGGGCTGAAGCTGCTCTACGATCCCAATCAGTAGCCGGATGTGTGCCACCTGATTGGCTGGTTCGTTCAGAGCTTCGGAGTCGCGCGGGACTAATAGATGTCTGTTTTTCATCGCTGCCTATAACCCCACAAGCTGTAGGAATGACACGGTGAAATACGACTTCTATCACCAACTTAATGCCGTCGCAACGAGACTGGACCTTAACGTGGTGCGACGGTTTGCGTACCTCATTGGCCCATTGAGCTATACTGGGTGTTGCCTCCGAGCATCTTGAGAGCTACTCCTACCAGGTTGGTCAATGGTGAGAGGTCATACAAACTCAGTCTCCTGGTCCTCCAGGTTGGCGGTTTGAAATGGGATGGCGTCCATTTCTGTAAAACTAAATCACTGCCACCCCGATGCCTTGCGGACAGGCTTTTGAGCCAAAGGCTTTGGATGAGGACCCTAATCGTTCTCCTGTCTAGGTCTGGGCGCCCTGGCACTATCCCAGCCCACATACAACCATGACATTTTCTTCAAACATAAACTTCATCCTGCATCGGCCGTCGCGCAGATTTATCAAGGGTCGACTTATCTGCTGTATACAGCAGGGCGGATAAGCGAAAGCATGCTACTGCTGGCGCCTCCCTTCTTTCTTTTCCACCTTTTTCTCTTACTCCCATCCCGGCCCCTATTACTAACCTTCCTTCTATAATTCCCAGCTTAATTGACAGCAACCGAAGTGCTACTGGAGTAGTACCGTCTGCAGCCACCATCCCACAACACCTATCGGACGCCTATCGACAAAAGTTCCTTATAAGGCCACGCTGTCCCGTTTCCATGGCGGCATTCAACGTCCGCACTCTAAGACAAACAGGTCAGCAGGCTGCACTCGCACTCACCTTGGACACACTGGGTGTTGATGTGTGTTGTGTGTCCGAAACTAGGATTAATGACCCTAACGGGGTTATTGAATTGACTGCACCCGGCTTATCCTCTCGTTATTGGTTGCACGCATCCGGAGACGCCGATGCGGCACTCACGGGTCAAGCTGGTTTAGGTATCATTCTCAGCTCCAAGGCTGAGTCATTGTTGGTTGATTGGATTCCGGTGAACAGCCGTTTGTGTGCAGCCCGTTTGACGACATCAGCTAAGGTGAATTCGCGAAGTATTACAAAACGCTGTTTGTTTGTGATTTCTGCTTATGCTCCCACCGACTGCAGTTCTAATGCAATCAAGGACACTTTCTATCACGAACTGAACACGCTGCTACGCAGTGCTACTAGTTCAGATATTATAGTACTTGCAGGGGATATGAACGCACAAGTAGGGCGTCTGAGCTCTTCAGAAGCTCAGCTGGGTGGTAAGTATGGACTTAACTCTGAACGGACTGACAACGGTGAGCGTCTTCTGCAACTGTGTGCGGAACACCAGTTGTTTCTTACTAGCACTGCTTTTAGACACAGTGGGCGCCGAAGTGCCACTTGGCGTCCACCTGTAGCTGGCCAGCGATGGACCCAAATTGACCACATAGCCATAAGTTACAGGTGGCGTGGTTCCATCCTGGATTGCCGCTCGTACTGGAGTACCTGTGTCGACTCTGATCATGCATTGGTGCGCTGTCGTTTTTCCATGAACTTTCCGGAAGGCACACAAAGTGTCTCCCCCGATTAGCAACGGAGAAATTGTCCCAGCCCTCTATCAGGCAAGCCTATCAAGAAGCACTGCATAGCGAACTCTTGCTGTCTTGTCCTAATGACACTGAGCTTCAGTGGAATAGGATCTCGGCCGTCATGCACGACGCAGGAGCATCTGCTTGTAGCACTATCAGTCGTCACCGCACCAGTCACTGGATATACGAGAGGTCTGTGAACCTTTTGGAATCTAGAAGGCATCTCCCGGCTGGTTCTGAACACAATGTGACCAGACGGGCTATTAGGCGTGAACTAAAGCGGAGCCTGCGTGCTGACAAGGAAGCCTGGTGGACCAGTCGGGCTCAAGAAATGAAGGAGGCAGGAGCAGTAGGCAATTACCGCAAGCTCTTCCAGCTAATACGCACCACTGGTCCCAGAAAATCAGGCGTCAGTGAGACAATCAGGGACAGCGCGGGTGCGCTGATACACAATAAGGAGCGCCGTATGGCTCATTGGGCGGAACACTTTGAACATCAGTTCAGCTGGCCCCCTGCTCCCGGACCTCTTCCTACTCAGGTGATGCAGGACGAGCCATGGACGGTTAGTTTAGAGCCTCCGTCGGAGGCCGAGGTCCGAAACGCGATCACAGCCCTCAATCGTTTTCGTGCCACTGGCCCGGATTCCCTCCCACCTGCGCTATTTAAGGATGGAGGTGAGGTCCTCTGCAAAGCACTGACCTCCTTATTCGAACGTATCTGGAACGAAGAGAGTGTGCCGGCTAATTGGAGCGAATCGATTATAGTGGCAATATACAAGAAGGACAGTCGCACAGACTGTTCTAACCACAGTGGTATTAGCCTAACGCCAGTTGTGACAAAATTATTGACCTCGATTATCGTTCGTCGCCTCACTGCGGAACGGGAATCTCGGATTAGGGAAGAGCAGGCCGGTTTTCACCCAGGACGTGGCTGTATAGACCATATATTTACTTTGCGGCAGGTGCTAGAGCAGCGCCACGCATACCGCAGACCGACAATAGCTGTGTTCCTCGATTTCAAGAGTGCCTTCGATTCAGTCGATCGATCGATTCTGTTCGAAATACCTGCGCGAAAAGGTGTTCCCACGAAATATGTGAACATCCTTCGTGCTCAATACTCGAACACTACAGGCCGCGTCAAAGTTTACGGTGTCCTATTGGATAGCTTTCCGACCACAAGTGGTGTTCGTCAGGGTTGTCCGATTTCCCCGTTTTTGTTCAATTTCGTCGTGGATTCTATCATGGAGTGTTCCCTTGCGGAATCTCACGATGTAGGTGTTGAAGTGCTGCCTGGTGAAAGGTTAGTTGATCTAGATTATGCGGACGATATCGTCTTGCTTTTCGACGATGTTGGGGCGGCACAATCAACCCTGAATAGCCTATCCAGAGTGGTCCCATTATTTGGTATGCACTTCGCACCTTCAAAGTGCAAAGCGTTGCTGCAGGACCACCAGCCACTCGATGACCCTTTGACGCTTGCTAACGAGGAACTCGAGGTGGTTGATCAT